ATCCCAGATGCACCTGTTGCATTCCACAGCAGCAGATAACCATTGTTTACATTTTGTTCCTGAGGCCTCTCAGCTTCTCAGGAGACAAAATCCTAAGGAAAGGATTTTTCAGAAAATCTCATGGCTACACAGTGCCTGTAAAGCCTCTCGTGTCCCGTGCAGTAATTTCTGCAGATGGAGATTCCATGTCTGTGCTGCAGACCTTTCTGCACGGCCACAGCAGCACAGGCAGGAGTGCCCAGCAGGGCTGAGGTGTGAGCAGGAGCTCTCGTGTTGTTTCAGCAATGCCTGCAGGACATCATGGACGGTTATTTCCCCTCCGAGCTGCAGCCACGCTACCCCGACGGGGTCCCCTTGCAGGCAAGTGCCAGCCCAGCTCCTGGAGCCACAGAAGAGGGGCTGAGGTCTGTGGGGCTGTGCAGGTGTGTCTGGCACCCCGGGCACCTGCAGCAGCCGTTACAGGAAACGTTTCAGCATCAGGGCTCAAGGGCTCCTGTGCCCCAGTGAAGCTGCCCTGGAACGAGGCTTCTGAGAGCACAGCAGGCTCTGTGACAGAGGCAGCCCATGCAGGAAATGAAGGGCTGTGTCACAAAAAGGAGGGGGAAAATGTTCTCAGAAGTTGCCCTGGAAAAGCTCGTAACGTGAGATTGAACGAGAACCTTTTGAAGGGGATGTCGTGAGAGTTTGTTTTGCCACACTTTAAATGGATTTGGCCACCTGAGGTTCTCTTGGGCCCCAGTTTTTGATTTCGCAGAAATGGCAAAGAGCCAAAGCCGCATTTGCAGGCAGAGAGCCTCAGAGGACTCCAATGTAGGTCTGGGAGTGCCCCTGCAATGTCAGCAGGCACAGCCAGAGGCTGGACCGTCCTGTGCCAGGGGAAACCAGGGCACAGCTGCTGAGCAGGACAGGGTCGGGCCAGCTGGGAGCTCTGGGGGTGAGGAACCCCACGGAAATGGGTTTGTGCAGAGCTCTGGGGGTGAGGAACCCCATGGAAGGGGTTGTGCAGAGCTCTGGGGTGAGGGATCCGATGGAAATGGGACTGTGCAGAGCTCTGGGGTGAGGAATCCCATGGAAATGGGATTGTGCAGAGCTCTGGGGTGAGGAATCCGATGGATGTGCTTGGTTGGGCTCAGATGCAGCAGGAGGAGCTTGTGCCACACCCAGATTTGCTTACAGGTCACTGACAGGAGGGATGTGGTGTTCCAGAAGCCAGACCTTGCAGGGAGCTTTCCTGGCCTTGGCCATGTGGTGGGGACTGCAGAATCCAACAGAATGCAGGAAACATCCAAGATCCCAGGTAAAACCTTAAACCTGCCTCGAAAATGCTGCTCAGTCTTGAGGAGGAGCATTCTTAAACCTTACCAGGTGGTAGGAGGGGAATGTGAGGGTCTCAACCCTTCTGTGAGCCAGCAGCTCACACAGGATCCTCTCAGCATTAATCCTGCTCAGGAATGAGACGTGGCAAGTAATGAAATAATAGAAATTCAGCAGGTTTCCAAAAACAAATCTGCCCCGTGCCTTTCTGAAAGGCCAAGCTTCCTTCCAGCTTGACCACATGAAAGGATGCTGAGGTAACCCTGCAGGCCTGGGGGGAGCTGCCTGCAAACACTGCCCCTTTCAACGAGTCATTCCAAAAATGAAGATATCGTCAAGGCAGATTTACCGTAACTGCACCCAGCACAGGACGGTTTCTCTTCAGACTTTCACAGCAGAATATGGGACATCAAAGGCCACAGATTCCTCATTTGGCTTCTAGACACTTGCAGTCTGTGTAAGCAATGTCTGACAGGGCTGGGAAGTCAGAATTCAGTGGGGCTGTGGGTGCATCACTGAATGACCCAGCACAGGTATCCCTCATGAGAAACAGCTGCCTGCTTCATACAGGTGTGCTCAAGGATAAAGCTAAATACCCCCTTTACCCAAGTAAAAAAATAAAGAACTGTCCAAGCAGGAAGGAATGGACACCTACAAATTCACCCTCATAAGGTAAAAAAGTGACTTTTACAGACTTTTTTTCACCTTTTTTCACAGACAAGGTGAAAAAAAGTCTGTAAAAATGGTAACAGCCCCAGTTTTTCCCAGCAGAGCTGCCTGCCAGCTGTGCACCCCAGCTGTGCACAGCTCTCACTGTTGATGCTCACAATCAGACATCCAGTGGGGCACAAAGTGGGACAGCTTCAGCCCAAGAGCTGCTCTGGGCCTGGCTGGGGTGCCGAGAGCTCTCCCTGTCGGCTGCTGCTCTCTCCTTTCACCAAATCTGCCTCTTCTGGAGCCAAAACCTTTGTCACAAAGCCCACACACGGAAATATCTCCTCTCTGCTCCCTAGGTCCTAAATGCTCCTGGGAGCAGGATCCCAATGAGGTTTCCCAGCCCCTGAAGCGCAGAGGGAGCATGAACAGCACCCAAGGAGCAGCTCCACAGGTACAGCGAGCCCCAGACACCCCAGGAGAGAGCAGGGGGATGCTGTGGGCTCAGTGCCCTGCACAGCACCCACAGCCCCTCCCTGGGCCTCTCTCAGCCCCACGGACCCTCCAGAGAGGCAGCAGCAGGGCACACGTGGCACTGTGGGGCTGTGCCAGCTCTGGCTGCTCGCCCTGCAGGGCTCACACTCACCTGCTCCGGCTGCAGGGCTCTGATGGGCAGCAGAGCAGCGAGGAAATCCTGCTGGAAACACCTGGGCTGGCTGCCCTGGACAGGTACAGGCACAGCCCCCCACCCCTGCCCTTCAGCATCTCCTCTTCCTCCTATTTCAGCACTTTAGTTCAGGGGGTTCAGCTGAGAATGGACTTTCCCCTTTTAGACCTTAGAAACAGTGAGACAAAAGGCCGAGTTTGGTCCTTTGGGAAAACCACTGAATTTTTCATGGCAAACATGCCATATTTTACATCTCTAACAAAAAGCTTCTGTTGTTCAAAATGTCACTTATTAATGTGAAAGTTTTCCCGACAGCAAGCCAAGGCCTAAGAGTTTGTAACCACTGAAGATCTTTGCAGTCATATTAAATGGAGAAACTGATGGTGGGAGGTCTCACTAGCAGCACTTTTCCACTCAGTCTTCTGGCAAGCCAAGACCCAAATAACTAATGAAAATAAACCCCAAGCAGATTATTTTTAATCAAAGAAGTAGGGCAGAACACTTACCAGACAGCCCTGGTTTAAAATGAAAAAGCTAAAAAAGGCCCATAAATAACCCTCCCCGAGGCACCTTCAGCAGTTTGGGCACTGGCTTGGTCTGGGTGCCCCTGGTCGGACGGGGCCTCATTCACCTCAAGGACATTCCCAAACACCAAACTGCCGTGCCCTGGTCGGGCCATGGAGGCTGTTGCTGCTGAGAGGAGCTGTCCCTGGGGCTGACAGGGCTCTGTGGCCGCAGGGGGAGGGCAGCAGAGCAGGCTGGAGCCCCTGAGCTCTGCAGGCTGCGCGTCCGGTCCGAGAGCGGGGAGCAGACGTACGAGCTGAGGATGCTGCTCACAGACACCATCGGGGACCTGCGCCGGCTGCTCGCCCACCTCAGGTAGGCCAGCCCTCCCTGCCACCCTGCCTGACCCTGCAGGACGCCAGGAAAGGCTTCCTGAGGCCCTGGAGCTTCAAACACGAGCTGGGGCACAGCCCCGTGCCCACCCAGCACTCTCCAGTGCTCTGAGAAGCTCAGAGCATTTCATACCCACCTTTGCCACACAGCAACAGAGATAAACTTCTTCTGTCCTCTCCAAATTGCCATCAATCCAGGCCATTGCTGCCTTTGCCTCTTCCCAGCACTCACCCAGCTGGTGCCACCCTTCCCAGGGTGCTGGAGGCTGAGCTGCAGCCTTGGCCTGGCTCAGCCAGCTGTGTCCCAAACATCCAGCGCTGCCCAGGGGCTCCCTGAGCCTGCTGGGGACAGCTCCAGGTGCCCGAGGGACCCCTCTGCTGTCCCCAGGATGAGCTCAGTGCTGGTGGGGTGCAGGAGCCTCCTTCCTCCCCACTGCAACTGTGTGCTGGCCAGGCCGCACTTTGGGCTGCAAACCCTTTTTTCTGCTCTTGCATAACCACAGCTGGATGGGTCAGAACCTTGGGGAATGCCGTGAGTAGGAGGAGGTTGTGCTGTTCTTTCCTAGGGGTGGAAACTCGGACTATGAGATCCTGAGCACCTTTCCCCAGCGGGTGTACACGGACAGCTCCAGGAGCCTGCAGGAATGCGGGCTGGTGCCCCGGGCCTCGCTGCTGCTCCGCAGGAGAGACCCCTCCCCGGGGCAGGGCAGGGGGCTGCAGCCAGCCTAGGAGCTGCTCTCACCTTACCCGGCTGGGAAGAGGGAGAGGTTTCCTTTCCAGATTCAGTTTCACCGTGCTGGACATGGAGCAGAGCTGGGTGGGAGCAGCCGTTTGGCCACTCCCTGTGGCAGAGGGGCCAGGCCAGCCCTGCTGCCCCACGGTGGCTGCTGTTCCCCAGCACAGGGACACCTCCAGCAGCTCACCCGGGCCTGGCTCCTCCTCTCTGTGCAGGTTACACGGGCTGAGCCCTGCCCAGGAGCCTGCCAGCCTCCCCCAGCACTGGGCAGCACTCAGGGGCTGCAGCAGCAGGATGGACACGCAGCCAGGGCAGTTTGCGTTCTGCACACAGCTCCCTGCACATCTCACCTGCACGGACAGCAGGGGACACACAGGCCCAGTGCCACGGTCTGTGCTGGAGCTAAACCTGAAGGCCTTGAGCTCCTGCCTGGCTGGGGCCGAGCCAGGCTCAGCTGGGAGATCCTGCTGCTGGGCTTCCTGTACGTGCACGGCTCCTTCCCTTGGACAGCCCCCAGCTGCAGCGGCCCCGGCTCCAGCCTGCCTGCAGGCACCCGCCCTCCTCCTCCTCCTGCTGCTGCAACAGGACACCGTGTCACTGAGAGCAGCAGAACCCCTCTCTGCCCAGCCCTGAACAAAGCATCTTCCTCCCTGGCCGTGGGCTGGGGCTGCGCTTTTCCCTTTCCCTTTCCCCAGCACATTCTTCCCATTCCAGCTGTGACAAGCTCTCACTTGACTCCCAGCTGACAGCACTCCCACTCATGTGGGGCAGGGCTGCTGGCAGGTTCCCTCTTCTCACAGACCCAGCCCTCAGCAAAGGCTCCCAATAAAACCCTTTATTCCACTGCAATTTCCACTTCCTTCAGATTTCTGAGGCATGGTTGGAAGCCCTGAGCTCTTCCCAGAGCTCTCTGGGCAGAGCTGCACCACTCAAACACAGGAAGCAAACCAGCAGCTTCCCCAGCTCCCTGTGAGCACTGACTCAACCCACCCAGCTCTCCCTCAGCTTCCTCCCTTCCCACCTGGAGCAGAGTCAGGAGCAGCTGTTTCCCCTGCCCCTCCGTGTCCCAATCTCTGTGCCAATGTTTGTTTTTCCCTGCCACGTCTGGCTGAGGCTGTCCCTGCCCCGGGCAGAGGGGAGGAATGCTCTGGTACCTGTCCCTGCTGCGCCGTAGGACATTCACACACGTCCTGGGAGCCTCTGATTAGCAGCAGCAAGCTAAGGTGTTAAGGTCTTTGTGTCAGGCTGCAGCAGCAGGCACAACCCACTCAGCTGGAAATGACTCACAATCCTTAGGTAGGGCGGTGTTTAACCTGTAGCCAAAATAAAACCGAATTTAAAAGAAAGGCAAGAGCGGCGCCGTGAAAGGTCCAGTAACATTTAATAGCATCTCGGAAGACAACACTGGTTATAAACTTGCTTTTTTGGCAGGAAAACAAAATGCACTTGGTCCAGGATCGCAAACAAGCCAACACAAAGAGGAGAAGATGGGACAGCTGGAGCATCAGCTGCTGTGGGGCAGCCCTGAGCCATTAATGCTCACCGGGGAGCTGCTCGGGTGGAGGGCGGCCAGAGCAGCACGGAGCCCACTGCCAGCCCCACCCATTCCCCAGGCAGCCTTCAGCCCCAGCCCCACCGTGCTGGGCACTCACACCCAAATTCTGTGCAGTACTTTTGCATTAAATTAAGACAAAAAAACCCCAAAAAACCAAAAAAAAAACCAACAAAAACCCCTTACTAAGTTACCATAATCTCTGCTGTTGAGATGAAGAGGAGGGAAAAAGAAAAAAAAAAAAAAAAGGAAGTGAGGCAGCAGAATTTACAATTTTAACAGCAACTGGGAGAAGTGGGAAGTCCCGTGCAGCCCTAAGCCCCTCCGTGGCGAGGCAGAGGAGGGGGCTGAAGGCCAGGATCACCTCGCACAGCCCCAGAGGCTTTGCTGTTTACAGAGGCACTGGAAGCTGCCGTGAGCCAGGCCCAGCTCTGCTCACAGCCCGAGCGGCGCTTTCTTTGGATCCCTCTGAGACGAGGCCGGGTCAGCAGGAGGGAGTCGGAGGCAGCTGCAATGAGGAGTTTTGGTCGTGGGTGTTTCCCTGGGCTGGGATGCAGGTGGAGGTGCCAGGACAGCGCTGACGGGTGAGGGTGGTGGGAGATGAGGGCGCTCAGGAACGCAGTAGAGTCCAGGCTGGGAGGGGAAGCGGGGCTCAGGCCAACTTGAGGAACTCCTGCAGAGTGTTTTGCTCCACAGCTTCCACGAAGAGCTCGTAATCCTGCAGGGAAACGCCGCAGGGTCACTGCCGAGGCAGGAGGGGCCCTGAGCCCACGGCACAATCTGCTCCACAGCCCTGGCACAGCTGCTTGTGCCAAGGATGACGGGACAAAGCGGGCACAGCCCCGCTGCAACCCAAACCCCCCGCCTGGGTCCCCTTTTCCCGAGGCAAACAGCCGTGCTGGTCCCTGCACCTCACAATAAATAATTTACAGGGCACCCTGAACACGTCCAGCACATCCAGGACAGGACAGCAGCCACCCCAGCCCAGCGTGGAGCACAGCCTCACCCCGCAGTACTGGTCCCCGTTGACGATCTGGGGCGGGATGGCTTTGGGGTTGCCTGCCTTGGCCCTCATCTCCTCCCGGAGAGCGTTGTCCTGGGAGATGTCCACCAGCTCGTACTTGATGTTCTTGCCGTCCAGGATTCGGGTTACCTCGCTCTGTTGGGATTTGATCTGGAAGCCGGGTGGGAGAGGAGCGGGTTACGGGG